ATCTCAACAAATAGTAGTCATCATAGTTGGGTATACAGGCAGTAAATGAGGACACAGTGGACTGGTTGGTGTATCTTCATGCTTCCCAGTCCTAGTTACGGTGTAAAACATTTTTTTTCTTTCTATTAGACAGGTAGACATAATTATTGCAGGAGGGGGAAATGGGAATAGTGAAAACTAGGTTTTGAATGTTTAGTAGAAGGAAAGGGTGGAAGGCATATAGAGTTAATGAGTTTGTGACAGGCTGAAAGTGACAAAAAGGCATGGGAAAAGTCATAAGAAATCACTGTAATCAACATGACCATTAGCCTGTACATCTTGCAACATTATATGCTACAAAGTAGAATTTGGCCATAAACACAGAATAATATCTCAGTAGTCCCAGTCACCAGTCCTGGTACCCATGTTGGTCACTGGTATATATTTCCTTTTGTCTGAGATGAAATGATAATAATATGGGATTTTTCTTTTCTTTTCCTTTTTTGAGATGGAGTTTCACTCTTGTTGCCCAGGCTGGAGTGCAATGGCATGATCTCAGCTCACTGCAACCTCCACCTCCTGAGCTCAAGTGATTTTCCTGCCTCAGCCTGCTGAGTAGCTGGGATTACAGGCACCTGCCACTATGCCCAGATAAGTTTTGTATTTACAGTAGAGACTAGGTTTCACCATGTTGGCCCAGCTGGTCTCAAACTTCTGACCTCAGGTGATCCACTTGCCTTGACCTCCCAAAGTACTGGGATTACAGGCGTGAGCCACTGTGCCCAGCTGGGATTTTTCATAAAGCTAAATGTATTCATTTTAAACATCTGTTCTTTATTTTGACATGTCATTTTAGCTTTTGTTCAGCTGTTAAAATTTTATTTTCTTTCTTTCTTTTTTTTTTGGAGATGAAATCTCGTTCTATTGCCCAGGCTAGAGTGCAGTGGTGCAGTCTCAGCTCACTGCAACCTCCACCTCCTGGGTTCAAGTGATTTTCCTGCCTCAGCTTCCAGATTAGCTGGGATTACAGGCACCCACCACCACATCAGGGTAATTTTATGTATTTTTAGTAAAGATGGGGTTTCACCATGTTGGCCAGCCTGGTCTTAACTCCTGACCTCAGTTGACTCACCTGCCTCGGCCTCCCAAAGTGCTTGGATTATAGGTGTGAGCCACTACACCCAGCCTAAAATTTTCTTTTCTTTTGGAAGGTAATAGAGATAAGTATCTGGCAGTTTTTTTTAAAGGTCCTTACTAGATGAAATAAAAAATTGACAAACATATGTTCACTTTCCCTATTAAACTAATATTTATTTTAAAATACCAAAGTCTAGAAATCACTGAATCAGTTAATCTTCATATTTTCTTACATTTCTGGGAAGATATCAAAGCAATTTCTCTATGAGACTATTCAGTAGGTACTAAGCAGAGTGTTTCCAAGGAGACATCAATACATCTAGTTCCTGACAGTTCATATTTTATTTTATTTTTAAAAATTTTAGTTTTAATTTTCTGAGACCGAGTCTCACTCTTGTAGCCTAGGCTGGACTGCAATGGCACCATCTTGGCTTACTGCATCCTTCACCTCCTGGGTTCAAGCAGTTCTGTCTCAGCCTCCTGAGTAGCTGGGATTACAAGTGCCTGCCACCTCGCCCAGCTAATTTCTGTATTTTTTTTTTTTTTTTTTTTTTTGAGACGGGGTTTTGCTCTTGTTACCCAGGCTGTAGTGCAATGGCGTGATCTTGGCTCACTGCAACCTCCACCTCCTGGGTTAAGGCAATTCTCCTGCCTCAGCCTCCTGGGTAGCTGGGATTACAGGCACGTGCCACCATGCCCAGCTAATTTTTGTATTTTTAGTAGAGACGGGGTTTCACCATGTTGACCAGGATGGTCTCAATCTCTTGACCTCGTGATCCACCCGCCTCGGCCTCCCAAAGTGCTGGGATTACAGGCGTGAGCCACCGCGCCCGGCCCTAATTTCTGTATTTTTAATAGAGATGGGTTTTCACCATGTTGGCCAGGCAGGTCTCGAATTTCTGACCTCAGGTGATCTGCCCGCCTTGGCCTCCTGAAGTACTGGGATTACAGGTGTGAGACACTGAGCCCGGTTTGACAATTTATATTTTATACAGAGGCCCAATACTTTTCTCCGAGGAAATTACAATCTAAGACAATACAGAGATGCAGATTGCTGTTACCTAGCACACAGAAGATAGTATAGAAACATCAATCTAATATACTGATTAATAATGAACTACTTATTTTTTTATAATTTAGGGCTAGATGAGAGGCAAGACAAAAACCATGATATGGTATGTGTGTGGCAGCTATTTGCAAAGAGTATCTCTAGAGATCTAAACCCAAACTAAACCAAAGGACCAAACAATAAAATCATCTTTGAGACCAATGAGGGCTAACCCTGTAAATATCATTGATTTCTTTCCCCTGATGTCCTCTATAGAATTACTTAGAATTTCAATGGCTGGAGTAGAGAAATAGTTTTCATTAGGTATTAAGAAAACAAGCACTTTGTTTTTTTGATTTTGATTTTAATATCACATACAGATTCTGATAAAAACATTAAATACTACTTAAGTTAACGAGGCTAGCAAACCATTACAGAGTAGTTGGGTCGGTAAGCAAAAATGGTAAAAATTTATAATTAAGCATATTCTCATTATACTCAAGTTCATTCTTGGTCACAAGAATAGGTATTTTTGAAAGGTATATTAATTATAGACATCTAGTGGGTATGTTTATTCAAACTGTCTTCCACCGGTCCCAATTAACATGGCTTCTAAAAGTGCATTCACTTGTAAGCCAAGGGTTATTTAGGCCCTTGGAAAATTTGGCTCATTGTCAAAAACATATAACTAAAAGAATTCTTAATATAGCAGATGAACTAATGGCTTTACAAGGTAAGTATTTTCTGAAGGAGATGGCCAGGGAAATGTTAATAATTGGGAAACAAATTATTGAACAGAGACCCAAAACATAATTTACCATGACAAATAAAAGTATTTATTTTTCACATTCTTCTGGAGAGGGGCAAATTATTTCAGTGTTAAGCATGATTGGATTTACCATTAATTTATTTCACAGAATTTATTGAATGCCTACTAAGTGCTCTGGTCTGGGAACACAAAGACAAAAGTGTTTGCTCACCATGCTGTTGCCATCTCTAAGAGGTGCTCAGTACATACTTAAAAATTACAAAAATTTCGACTGAAACTTATACCACATCACACACCTACACCTACACACACACACACACACACACACACACACGCACAGTTTAAAGGATCTAAATGTGTTAGAAATGTTCAGGAACTGAAGGAAATAGGCCTTAGGTATGGAGCCAACATCCAGTACTTCAGTATGTAACAGCTTGATTTAAAAAAATCATCTTTAAATAATATGACTTGCATTTGCTTTCTCCCACATCCTCATTTTATGCAGTCCTATTTCTAGAAGGTCTTCATGGCACTTCACAGATGAATGCAACACAATCTTGATTTCCTGGGTGCTTAGGTTAGTAGATGGCCTTCAGGGAATTTCAGCTGAACGTCATCTACTCCAGCTCTTTTCAGATTTGTTAATCCTGGTCTGGAGGGAGGGAAGAGGAGACAGGTTGCTGTTACCCTTGTGCATCCACCCCTATGGAAAACCCTTGCTCTGCATTTTACGATTTTGCTTGTTTGATACCAAGGAGGCCCTTGGACGGTTCTGCGATTCTGCCTGCCCATCCCGCATAAAGTAGTTCCCTTCATCTGCCAAGTAGAAGGCCCATTTTGTTCCAGAAAGAAGCTGAAAGTTAGGCCCAGCAATGTGACTGCAGCAAACTGCGCCTAACCCCTTTCCCTCGCTGCAGGATAGGATCTAGAGTTCAATTTGCAAGCTGTTGTGGGGTGGAAGCTCGATGAGCAGCGGCAGGTTGTGCATCTCGCGGCTTCTGGCTGTTATCCCCCGTTCAGGGGGACTCTGGTTTTGACTGGGGGCCAATGGAAACCCAAAAGTGTCACTATGATCCCATCTGGCACCGTAAAGGCACACTTCCCTGCAGCAGGGCTAGGTATAGGATTGACCTCCAAGTGGGGCTGGGTGAGGGGGTGAACTCTACCTGTTTGTACAGCAGAATAGAGTGGCCAAGCAGTGGCACAGATGAACGCAGAGCCGCCTTGACTATCCAAGCACCATCCAGGTAGCTTCGATTTGGCCAAAGCCAGCGTATATCGACGCCCCAAGACCTTTATTCCTCGGTTGCTGGACCAGGGTGCGTGTCCCTTTTGGCCCTCGGATCGGAGAAACTGCTTGACCAGGTCACTGTGTTTTTCCTTCTGGCCATTTTTGCCCTATCGAGGTCAGAGGATGCTTCTGTATGGCCACCCGGCGCGTCACAGAGATCAGGTCTCCTGTTCAAGGAATCTCCTTCAGGGCTCTACGCTTTGACAGGATCACCGCCTCAAGACCCCTCTGCCACTTAATCGCCCTTGCTTTGCTGCTTCAACCAGAAAAAGGGCCCTGAGCAGAAACAAGCGCGCTGTCGGTTGGAACACTACCCCAGTGTGCCCGGGGTTGGTGCTGGGGCTTTCGGGTCGGAGTCGGAGCTTGAACCGCCCTCCAGAGCCTCGCAGGGAGGGAAGTTAAAACAAGACGCCTCGGTCTGTACCGAGATGGTACAATAGCACAGTTTGGATTCTTCCCTCTGCTTCCTGACCCTAGAGGGTTAAATTAGGAGGGTACAACGCCACCCTTTTCTCCTCCTTCCTGCCTGCCCTCCTCCCCTTACCTTTAAAAAGTTAAAAAATGTCTGCAGTAGAAATCTCTTAAAGGGGCGGTGCCGGTGTACGAGTTCTCTTGGCAGGAGTCACTGGGAAGGCTGGCTAGGGGCGTGAGTTCGCTCCACCAGCACCAAAACACTGAAGAAAAAAAAAGAGCGAGCGAAAGAGAGAGAGAGAGGGGGAGAGAGAGTGGGGGGGGGGTGGGAGGAAGGAAAAAAAGGGGGGAAAAGGCGGACAGACACACACTTTAGATAAGGACAATTAGTCACTAGCGAGACCCAGTAGGAAGAGAGGTTTAAATCTGAGAGATTGAATGAGGGTGCTCTGTGCCTTCCCTGAAGCCATGCCCTCCAGCAACTCCCGCCCCCCCGCGTGCCTAGCCCCGGGGGCTCTCTACTTGGCTCTGTTGCTCCATCTCTCCCTTTCCTCCCAAGCTGGAGACAGGAGACCCTTGCCTGTAGAAAGAGCTCCAGGTTTGAAGGAAAAGACCCTGATTCTACTTGATGTGAGCACCAAGAACCCAGTCAGGACAGTCAATGAGAACTTCCTCTCTCTGCAGCTGGATCCGTCCATCATTCATGATGGCTGGCTCGATTTCCTAAGGTAAGGCAGGGGCTTCGATGGATCATTTTAAATTTTTAGTAACACCACCCCAACCCCTTCCTATCTCCCATTCCAAAGGGGAAAGAAGAAAATAAGTCAAGCAGATCTCTCAAAGAGAAGAAAGGAGGTTTTCCTCCTCCTGGATTATGTGTTATGAGGCTGTAACTAGTGATTGAGAAAAGCAATGTTTTCTATTAAGATGCACATGTTTGCAATGCAGAAGGCATTTCAGAAACTTATCAGTTAGGACTGAAAAAATGTTGTGCTTACATATATCCACAATTAGCTTCCCCATCTCCTTCTGAAAAAGAAACGAGGTTCAGGGCAGTTACAAAAGCGAAGAAAAAGGTCCCAAACAACAAAGACCTGAAAGGAATGTGTGTGTGTGTGTGTGTGTGTGTGTGTGTGTGTGTGTGTATGTTTGTGAGACAGAGGAGTGTTTGTGTGTGTGTGTGTGTCTATGAGTGTTCGACCGGGGATTGCACGAAAGTGGAATTTTCCACGGAAAGATCGTTTCGGCAGTTTTCTCTCACTCCCAGAGAGAAAACGAATTTAAGCAGAGGCTTGAGTGGTGGGCAAGTTGGATCGGAGTTAAAATTTTTTATTTTATATCCTCCGCTGTCATCTCCAGACTTCAGGACTTTGTAAGGCGCTTTTTATAGACAGAATGCCCCCCTCCCCCCAGTTCCTCCTCCTTAAATCTCCTGCGGTAACTGCACAGTTTAGCTTTTCTTTAAAGAAAAAAAAATCCTCGCTGGGGTCACAGCATTATAAGGGAAGCGTAATAGTCCCAGAAATACTCCAGGGAGGCTTTAGAGATCTGAACCCCGCACCAGCGGATTAGCAAGCCCGGAGGTTTGAGATCCCCTTTGCTCTAGAGCTTGTAATCTAATTGGGCTCACATTCTCCCCGGGTTGTTGCAGTTTGGCAGTTAGGCAACTGCGATCCCTTCCCAACCAGGGACAGAGTTGCAGTGTAAAATAAGAAAGCCTCTGTAATGTCGAATCCCAGTGTTGAGTTTTAAAAAATTCCCTCCAAGTTGGAGCCTCAGCCTGTGGGTTCCCCTTGAGGAGCCCTCAGCGCTCTCAGTCCCACTCTGCCCCAAGGCCGCGTCTGTGTGCGTCCTTCATATTTTTCACTCCTTGCGAAATTCGAGTTTTGCTTCTTGAGGTGCGCCTGCCTCTCAACTCTTGGGGTTGTCCCGCTCTCCCGATTCGGGTCTGCGGACGCGGCAGGTAGCGGGAGGCGCCACGTGAAGCGCTCCTTCCAGGAGGAGGAAGGGTAGCCGGAGGACTGAGAGGCTATAGCTGCCCTTGCCGAGGCCGTTTCGGTTCCTGCTGGTGCGGTTGCTGCGAAGGAGGAACAGCCAGCTCCACGCGGCCCAGCTTCCTCTATGAAAGCTCTTTCGTGCAGCAGAGCGCGTCTCTGAGCTCGTCCGAATGTAGGGTGCAACAGGGATTTACCGCAATGCTTGCCCCACTTTCATTGAATTCCTTCAGCTGCACAGACCGCCCCCCGCGCCACCACTCACCCCCCAGCTTGCTTTCTTCTTTTTAAAAATCAGCCTATTCGCCTAATGCTTTCCTGCCGCTGAAAAGAGTCTGGAAGGCAGCTTTTCGGGGAAGAAGTCCTGGCGGAGCGCATTCGCATTGGCTGTGCAGGCTTCCGGATGAAAGGTTGTTGGGAATGCAGTTTCCCCAGGACTGGATTCGCGCGGACGTCTCTTTTGCGATAGGAGGCCCACGGGACGCCCTGACTGTGCCTGTCCTGGAGCAGGGTCCTGGAGACCTCAGCCTAACAACCCTTCTGGTTACTAGACCCTGGGGTAGCCACGTCTCTTCTCAAAAACTCTCCAAAAGCGGAGTGTCTGTTTTTTCTGTCTCGTATCCACCTCCTTTATGATGCTCTTTAACGTCACCATTTGGATTTGGGTTTTCAGAATCTGAAACAGCAAAGCATTAAAAAATAATTTACAAACCCGGAACTCAACAGCTGATTCCCTTTAGCATTATCAGTGTCTGCATTGCTCCTTCCCTACTCCTTCCCAAAGCAGTAGCCTTTGGCTTTTAAAAAGACCTATCGATAGAAATCCTGACCTTAAACAGATGTAAATGCAATTGTTTTGGTGCTTATTTAGTATCCCCTAACGCGCAGGTTCCACATTTCGGGAAGCTTCATTTTCCCTAGTGGTTCCAAACGGCCCCAAATGAGAAAGAAGAAAGATGGAGCCTAACTCGGGGGTGGGGTGGGGTGGGGTGGAGGATGTTACCTTTACCGAGATCAGGCGGAATTATTCAGAGGCCAAAGAGACTTTGCTCTCTCGCTCTCTCTCTCTCTCTCTCTCTCTCTCTCTCTCTCTGTGTGTGTGTGTGTGTGTGTGTGTGGTGGCGGTGGTGGTGCGGGATTGGAGAAGTGTTCCTGTAGAGGCAAGGGTTTACCCTGGAATATCTCCATCCGGGGATTTGGGAAACAATGCGGTTTTCACAATATAGTGAGAAAGGAAAATCAACTTGGACATTAAAAGTAAAAAGTAGGAATCCACTTGAGCTCAGGCGCCCGGCCTGGTCTCAGAGAAACAAGGCAGGTTTCGCCTCCTGCACGGAGGTTTGTGGGGCCGCTGGGGCCGAGGAGGCAATGCTGGCTTTCAGCATACAAGTTTTTGGCTATGGTTGGAAGCCAGAGGTAGGCGCGCCTGGCGCGTCTCCGTCCGGAGCGCTTTCCTGGCAGTGGCAGAAGCCGGGCAACTGCGCTTTAGCGCCGTGCTCGTGCTTGTAGCGCATACATCTCCACCCCATACACTCTATGAACAAACACAATCTGTAGCCTTTCGGAGATCAGGATCTGGGTGTCTGCGGGAGGGGACCGCTGCGAGTGCCTGGAAGCGGGAGGCGTAGCCCGGGGAGCCGGGCGTTGAGGGCGGGCTAGGGCGCCTGGCACTAGGGAGACGCTGCGGAGCGGCCAGGGGCCAACGTGGACTGCGGGCTGCGGCAGGCACAGAGCCTCTAGCCTCGGCCAGGTCGCCCTCAGGGAGTGGGAAGAGGGCCCTTTTCCGTGGCCCACGCGCTCTTGTCCTGTCTCTGGAAACTTTCCTCTTTTTTTCTCTACCTCTGCAGCTCCAAGCGCTTGGTGACCCTGGCCCGGGGACTTTCTCCCGCCTTTCTGCGCTTCGGGGGCAAAAGAACCGACTTCCTGCAATTCCAGAACCTGAGGAACCCGGCGAAAAGCCGCGGGGGCCCGGGCCCGGATTACTATCTCAAAAACTATGAGGATGGTGAGAAACTTGATTACCATTCTTTATCTGGGGAGCGGAAGCGAGCACTGGCTCTGTGTGTGTGTGTGTGTGTGTGTGTGTGTGTGTGTGTGTGTGTGTACGCGCGCGCGTTGGCGCAGATTTGGAGAGCCTGGTTGCAGCTCGCCTGAAAAGTTGGAAGCTTCAGATGAGGGGACACTTCAATGTGGAACTCCTGACCTCATTGTGCAAAGGGGGGTTCTCCAGGTTGTCCTCACCCAGCTGCTGGCCTTGTACTGGGCAGCTGTCTCGGAGACTGCGAGCTGGTAGCCCAAGCTGCTGGCAGGCTGGTCCTGTGTGTTGTAGATGCAGCAGGGTTCTTGAGAAAATCCAGCCACGTTCATAGATTATTAAAAGTCAGAGTCATATTTCATAGCTAAAATTCTAGACCAGTGCCTTTTTGTTTTTCTTATTTCTTGCATTCCTGGGATAAAGGTACAGAAGGGATTCAGCCGTTTCTGAAACCCACTCTAAAATTTTCTGGATTTGTCCCTTATTGAGGAAGGTTTGGAAATCTCTACAGTATGTTCTTCTTCAGATTGCCTGATCTCAGAGTTGCATTTTTTCCTGTTTTAAATGGGATTACAAATGCCAGCTTTCTTTCCTGACAGGATTAGGTAAGTGTTGGAAGGGCTTTGAAAACTTGAAATCCGATTTCAATCTGAGAGGCCAATCTTTTTTTGGTTTGAACAGTCTCATTTTTACTAGATAAAAAATGAAAATGCTATTGAAAAATTTTTGTTTAGAAGGTTAGGTGTTAATATCTAATAACTTTCTGTTTGAGTGGTGGGATGTACTTTCAAGAGGCATGATGGGTATTGGCGTTTCTTGAGCTATTGACACTGTTAAGATTAGATAGAAGAGGCAGTAGAGTGCATTCTTGGAGGGCTATCTCCTGGCTGCTGTTCCTTCTCATAAGTAAACTACAGTTTTATTTACAAAGGGCTCAGGGACAGGTTTTCAGAGCTCTCTGAATTTTGTTACATCTTGTCCTGACAAATCAGCTAAAGAAGCAAATGCCCTGTGTTTTCTTGGGCCTTCACTAAATTGGACTTCTGGAGAGGTATTGGAATGTATTTCTAGGTTGGCCGAGGAACATTTTTCTAAAGTGCCAGAACAGAGAAAGAGGGCAAGGCTGAGACTTCTTGAGTTTGGAGCGTGACTAGGACTTGTTCTTTTATGGCATTTGCCAAAGCAGTTAGGTGTTTAAGGCTGTATCTTTTCAAAGATAAAAGTCATTGCTATGAAAGTGTGTATTGCAAGTAGACTTTTGCTGTCACTCAGTATAAATGCTGAAAGGTAAAAGATAGTCTTTAACAGCACCTTTGATGGTAATTTGACCCAGAACCAGCTCCTAGAGTCACTGTCAGCTCTGTGATTACACATAAGAAGGGAGAATATTAATGGTTTTCCTGATGAGATAGCTCTTCTTCCAGTCCATTTGAACTACTTCTTCTTTAGTTTGTGAGAAAACTTGTAAGAGCCCCGGGAATTGCTGGGGGGAAAAGGACCACTATAAGTTTAGAAATTGGTCTGTTTCTCCCAGCCTTGTACCTAGGATTGTATTACATTGAGAACAATGAGATTTGCTTAAAATGAAGGCTGCAATTTGTTTCCCTTTGTGAAAGGAGAAAGTGGACATCATGGGGAGAAAAGAAATTGGCAAAAGACTGTGCCCTGTAAAACTTCATAGAATTAAAAAAAACCATAAATGGTAAAGATATAAGAGGCCATCTTTAGTCGTTCTACCATGTCAGGGGCCACTATAGGATCATTCCATATGGAAACCTTTTCTTGTTTTGTCCCACTTGGCATTAAATATCTCTAGAAATTTAGTTTTCATCACTTCTAGGGGAGAGAGTTTTTCTACCTCATAAGCTTTTGCTGGAAAATTTCTCCTGAATTTTCCTTTTATAAGTATTTACAGTTATTCCTGTTTGCATTTTTCTAATATAATTTCTGCTTTTGGTGTGGGTGTTAGCTTTAAAAAAAAAAAGTTTCCTCATAGCTGTTTTTTATCTTGACTACCTGGATCTAATTCTTTTAAAACTTTCTTTAAAGTCAGTCCTTCCAGACACTAATCTGTTTTATTGCTCCTAGTTGAACTCCTTTTGATTTATGTTCTCCTAGTAATAAGATGCTCTGAACTATATCAGTATTTGAGGCTTAACTGAGTTAAAGAGAATGAGGATGTCCTATTTCTGCCCTTTGAAGCTCACATATCCTTAAATTACCCATACTGTCTTTGTTGTGTGTTGTATTGCAGAATTCAAGGCAAAATGTTCTTGGTGTAGTCTCAGCAATTTTGCAAACATTATGCTTCCGTTGTCCCTTTTCATCTAGTGATAACTGTTATCATTATGAGCATCTTAGAATAATTAAGCCTTCTTAGTAAATGGTCCTGTAGTAAGCACTTGGGCACAAAGGCATCTTGTTAAAAGATGTATTTACTTAAACATAGTACAGAATAACAACATACATTTTGAGTAATAAGATATACCTACTGGCATGTTATGAAACTCAATGACACAGTGAAGAGAAAATGGAATTTGGACTTAGAAAGTTTGCATTGCAGGCCTGGTCATATCATTTATGAATGTGTGGCCCCGGGCTTACTGTTTATAGCATGTGGATGATGATAATTACCTGCTGTGCATTGCTTCTCTGAAGGTTCTAAGAGGTAATGTTTGTAAGTTATTTTTTTGACTGTACAACACTGTAAGAAAGGTAAGGATTCTTACTTTCATTAAAGGCAACTTCAGCAAATTTATAACATATATTTAATGTTTTAAAGTGGGATTAAGGCGTGAGTAAGATTTAATGAGATTAAAGTTTATACAGAAGGCAGAAGGTAGATTTTTGAAATTATTTGAGAGGATTGAGAGAATGTAGGGAGAATTATCTTTAAGGAACAGAGGTGAGAACCAAAGGTGGCTTTTGTTATGTGCTGATATTAAAATGAATGGATAGTTGCAGCTTTGAGCAAAAAGCCTCCACCTTTCTGGTTAATCCATTTATATTGCTACCCTGATGTGATTTTTTTTTTTTTTTTTTTTTTTTTTTTGATGGAGTCTTGCTTTGTTGCCTAGGCTGGAGGGCAATGGCACAATCTTGGTTCACTGCAATCTCTGCCTCCCGGGTTCTAGCGATTCTCATACCTCAACCTCTTGAGTAGCTGGAATTACAGTTGTGCACCACCATGCCTGGCTAGTGTTTTTTTTGAGACAGAGTCTAGCTCTGTTGACCAGGCTAAGTGCAGTGGCACAATCTTGGCTCACTGAAACCTCTATCTCCTGGTTCAAGCAATTCTCCTGCCTCAGCCTCCCGAGTAGCTGGGACTACAGGCATGAGCCACCATGCCCCCCTATTTTTTTTTTGTGTGTGTGTGTTTTTTTTTTTTAGTAGAGATGGGGTTTTACCTTTTTAGCCAGGATGGTCTCAATCTCCTGACTTCGTGATTTGCCTGCCTTGGCCTCCCAGAGTTCTGGGATTACAGGTGTGAGCCACTACACCTGGCCAATTTTTGTATTTTTAGTAGAGACGGGGTTTTGCCATGTTGGCCAGGCTGGTCTCAAACTCCTGATCTCAAGTGATTTGCTCAACTCTGCCTCCCAAAGTGCTGGGATTACAGACATGAGCCACTGTGTCTGGCCCCTGATGTGATTTTGTTGTCCCCCTTGTTTCTCCCAAATTAATAATGCAATTAACAACTCATGTGGCTTCTGTTTTCCAAATACTTTTGAAGCATATTAATGCAACTGTATTTTCTCTAACTTTGTAAAACCACTATTTATGTATCACTTTGGGAGCTTCACTGGTTACTCCTTTAATGCAGTTAACTATTTTGCTCTATGCTTAGGTACCCTGAATTCCACACACACATAGTATTGATGCAAGAAGTAAAAATAGAGATGTTCTTTATACCCTAGGAATCTTACCGTTGCCTAACTTCCTTTCTGGTCTATGTGATGTTATGCTTTACTTACTGTCAACAAAGAAATCTTGGGTTATTCTTCTGTTTATAAGTTTAGTTTTTTCCCAGTCTTCCCCTCTTCGTATTATATTCAATGTGCTTTATTTGTATGCATTTTAATGACCATAACTGTATCTTTAATGAAGACGTACACCATTTTTTAATGTACATCAAAAGCCAGCTTAATATTTCTATAATGTCATATTCATCATGTTACTCTTTTGCTCAAAAACCTTGGTTAGTTTTGGATTGCTTGCATATGTTCAAACTCCTCAACTTGGCATTCAAAACCTTTCACATTTCAGTCTCAGCTTACTTTTACTACCCTGTGTTTCCATATACCTTTTGTTACAGCCCTACTTATTTGGTTGTTCACTGTCTCCTTAAAGCACCTTCATTATCTCAACCCCATACCTTTGTACATTAGTATATGAATTTGCCTTGAATGTCTTTCTCCTCACTCAAGTCAGAGCTTACCCCATCCCACCTAGTTTTTGAAGGCCCACTGCAAATGTTCTTACTTACACAAAACTGTTCTTGAACAGGTCATTCCACAGTGATCTCTTCTTTATTCCTTCTCTGGACTGCTGTAGCTTTTACTCTTTATGCTTTTCTTTTGGCTCCTTCTGCCTTGTTCTGCCATTTAACTTTATTTACATATATAAAATATTTTAACTATATATTATATATATATTTGACTTTAAATATATATTTATATTTTACCTTTCCAACTAGAATGCAAATTCTTTATAGGAAGATACCATATCTAATTATTGTATATCTACAATGTGTAGCCTTTATGACACATGGTAGATCTTCAGCAAATTTTCTTGGGTGTATAGTAGGTTAAAGCACTGTGAAAGGCCTAGGGAAAAGGAGGTGACCAGTGGAGAAATGAGTGAAGGTATACGTGAAGACTCTATTCAGTTTACATCTTCAACACATATTCCCATGCAGCCCATTCTTGATGCTTATTTTTTAATGACATTCTTCATGATTTTAACCATAT